GAAAATTGAGAGCTGAAAGTCAAACCAAACCACTTATCCTTTTAATATAAGACTGGTTCTAGAAAGGGGTTTTGTGGGTGACGCTGGACCATGGTCTCCCGGGAAGGAAAAGCAAAAGGATCAATATATCCGATGCAGTTAATGCAACTGCATGATCGTAGGTTTCTTGCTTCAGACAGTAAACCTGCAAGGGTAACCGACCGGGGGGCAATACGAAGGAAGGTATGCAGATGACATACTGCAAAATGCTCCCTCAAAAAGTGTTACTACCTTTAACTACAAGTGCTTATGACAGTAGCTGTGGGCGAAGAAATGAGGCCGCCACTTCTAATTCGTACCCATAAGTGTCAACCCTAAAATTAAGCCTAATCCCGTCCGACCCTAACCACATGCATTTGCTCCATAATCGTGACCCAAAACAGTAGCCCTAAACCTAACCATAAACCCAAAGCCAAACTTTACTGACTAGTCATTAGACTTGCATATAAATTCTCAGCTATCGGGTTTTGTGGAAGTACCTAACCGTAGATTCTTTCTCTCCCCCCTCTGTCCTCGCAGGACGATGAAGGTGATGAGGACGAGGTGGATAGCCAGGAGGAAGACGAGAACTACGAGCCGTCGGTGGCCTCTTCAGCCAGTGACGGCGAGGGCAGCGGATCCGCCTCCGACGAAGATGACGAGGACGAGGATTGGGAGGCCGAAGAGGACTCCACCAGTGAGGGTTCTCTCGACTCGGACGAATCCGAAGGCAAGAATTGGGACCAGCTGGAGGAGGAAGCTCTGCGTGGTAGGTTTTGGTTTGGGGTGGGGGGGGGAATTTTCCTTCGGTTGCCGAGCGTAACGTACTCGTCCGCCCCTACAGTATATGTCCAACGTCAGCCAAAATTTTGAAATGTGTGTCCGATTCCAGCTAATTAGTTAAATAACATTATAGTACTGATAAGCGTACAGTCTGATCTCAAGATATATTAGTCATGTCAGGAGAATGGCTTTTGAACGAGCTTTCTGACTGCCTAAAAAGGTATGATTTGTAAAAAAAATGGCTTCTTAAATAGTGTGCATTTTTCGCATTCACTTACTAAACTGTTACTCTCCAATGGCCGCCAGAACATCTGTGTCCTATTTGAGTGTTCGCAGGCCACTCGCTCAGATGTCCAGAAAGTGAAATGTATCCCAAATGTAAAATAGGCGAGGATGAGGTGTTCTTTTTCAGCGTCCTCACTTCAGTTTTTTTGCTAGATGTTTCTTTGTAAAGTACATTTCAGTCAACGCCGATAAATTTTTGATTTAAACGT